CTGAATTTAACAGAGACAGTGCTCCTCTCTCTCTCACCCCATCCCAAATCCGAGAGGATCGATCTGAGCAACGAGGGGAATCTTAGAGCATCGACCCTCACGAAGAGACTGCAAAAAGGCTGACAGTAATAAATCAATCACTGGTATTTCCCACAGAGGAAATACATGCAGGCACTTCCAGCCTTAAAAAAGTAGTAATGGATTTTTTCAATCAGCTTGTCTTGGTGACTTTAAGAAACGTGAACAAACCATTAGACCCAGACAACATGTTTTCACTTATTCAGCACCCATCCAGGCTTTGACCAGGAGTTGCCTAAATAAATGCAACAGAAAAGCATAAAGCATCTCTCTCCTCCTGGTTGCTCACTTATGTATCTTGGGAAGATCGTCATAGCATCCTCAGCTCTGCGTGTGTGTGTACCCTGTCTGGAATAACAGAGCTTCCATCTCTGCTGGGGCTGCTGCAAGCTCCTGGGATACATATCTTTGCAGCCTTGCAAACTGCCCCTCTGCCCCTTATCCATCCATCTCTGTCTGCCTTCTTGCATCTCATCTACTATTTTTTGAAGTTTCTCCAAGACAAAGCCTCATCCCTTTGCTTGCTCACCTTTGCCTTCCAGCTCCCTGCGGAGGTATCTTGACGGGACCGGCTGGGGGGGTCCTGCAAGCTCCTGGGATACATATCTTTGCAGCCTTGCAAACTGCCCCTCTGCCCCTTATCCATCCATCTCTGTCTGCCTTCTTGCATCTCATCTACTATTTTTTGAAGTTTCTCCAAGACAAAGCCTCATCCCTTTGCTTGCTCACCTTTGCCTTCCAGCTCCCTGCGGAGGTATCTTGACGGGACCGGCTGGGGGGGTCCTGGAAGCTGACTGTCTCTCCTGATTATGTCATCGCTCTGGTCTTCAATACGTACGTACCCCGGAGCGCTCTGCTTCCACTCCTGGGGACGGGCAGGGGGTCCCACGGTGGGCACTGCCCGGTGAGAGGGGTCTCGTGGGGGTCCTTGACTCACTGAGAGGAACCAAACCAAACCTGGTAGGTCTGTCCCGTAGTCCTGGGCAATCTGTTCTCAGGTGTTGCCTTAATTTGGGAGAAGATGCATGTGTTTCAGCTGTAGCTCCTCTTTGATACACCCGTGTTTTCGGGAGTGTGATGTGTCGGTGGTGCAGCACAGGAAGCCCCTGCAGCAACACTGGCTTAGGCTGTCGTGCACTTGACTG